CGATAGACAGACAGAGAGACAGAGAGAGAGAGAGAGAGAGAGAGAGAGAGAGAGAAAGCGAGAGAGAGAAAGCGAGAGAGAGAGAGATAGATAGAGAGAGAGAGAGATAGGGCAGGAGAGTGAGAGCGATGGTATGCCTGTATTTCTGTGCAAATGTGCACCTAAGCTGTGTTTGTGTGTGTGTTTGTGTGTGTGTGTGTGCGCGCGTGTGTTTGTGTGCGTGTGTGTATGCGCGTGTGTTTGTGTGCGTGTGTGTATGTGTGTGTGTGTGTGTGTGTGTGTGTGTGTGTATGTGAGTGCGTGTGCGTTTGTATGTCATCAGGGTTTTGGAGTGATTGTACAAACACGTTTGATTGCCTTGCACAGGCCTTACGGTGGAACGTGTTATCGCGTTCGACTATCAAGTACGCCGTGGTCAGCCAGGCAAAAACTTGCGGTTGACCACACTATCCAGGCAGATCGTAAAGTGGAACCGGCTCCAGATAAACTTCCTTCCCATCGCGGCAATAGAATTCAGTAAGACCGTAAACAATTAGAAGCAGCGCAGTGAAATCACGCGCTCATCAAAACAGTGAAATTGTGTTGGGCAATGTTTTTTCGAACTTATAAAGCCACGATTATGTGTGGAGTAACCGAAAAACGTCCATTAAAATCACAAAAAAATGAATTTTCCCAGCTTCCTAGGACACTCAAGCTTTGAAAATCAAAAGATTTTGGCGGCCATTTTCTAATTTATTTACCTCTCTTACCAGCGACCTCCACCTCCTTCAATCGCAAACATCTCGACTTCTAATCAAGATATTTCGTCAAATGCAAGAAATATTAAACAGCTTAAAGTTTAAGACGATATTAAAAGTGAGGCACTGTGGTGAAATCGGGCGCTTGTCAAAATAACGAAATCAAAGAAACAGGCATTTTTCCTAAAGTTTAGCAATTTAAAAAAAAAAAATTTTTTTGGCTCGACATCTTTTCTGTCGATATTATAAAAACAAATTTCCATTTGAATTTTACAGAAGAAAACGTTGATTAATGGCCCAAATTATGGAAATTTTCAGCTTTGAAGGACTCTCAAGCTATTGCAGTTACCAAATTTTGGCGCCCATTTTCTCACTAATTTTACCTCTGAAACCAGAGTACCCTCACCTCTTTCAATTGAAAATATTTCGACTTTTATTCAAGATAAATGGATATGAATTAGGATGATA